AAAAAATAGGAAAATCAGTAAATTACTCTTATAAAATATATTACTTTGATCTAAAAACGAGTGTGGAATTTCTTAACAAAGAAATGGAAGAAATTATGGTACCAAAAGTGCGAAGCCGGAGTTTTAATTTTCACCTCTTCAAAAAGGAAGAAGATGAGGAGGTTGATACTGAAAGAGAAAAACCAATTACTTTAATATTACATTTTTCAAATTAAATGGGACACTTAACAACAAAAAACTACAAAGTAAGTTAAAAATATATTTATGATGGAAACACATGAATATAGAAATAATACTGAATACCAAAAAGCAATTAGATTTTTAAAGAAAGGTTGTAAATGCGGTTGTTCTCACAAACTTCCTCGCGAGAAATTTGCTAGACTACGAACTCAATTTAAATCTCTTTCCAAACCAGCTCGAGATATGTTTGTAATAGGACAACTATTTGCCATGAGAGAAGGAAATATGACTACTAGTTCTCGTTTTCCTAAAAGGGAAAGAGTTAACATAAGAATTTCTTATCGCTGAAATAATGAAACTCCTGTCTGCCAAGAAACTTATCTCAATATGTTAGGAGTAAGTAGAGATTATTTAGCACCTTTAATGTTTGACCCATACCACGCATTCATTACTGAAAGAATTCATGGCAACACAGGAAGACCGCCTCAATGAAAAACCAAAATGAACCTTGACCAAAAAACCAAAGAAGCAATAAAAAACTTTATTCTAAACTATGCTGAAACTCATGGCTCACCTAATCCGGGAAAAACTAAAAGGACAGATAATACGACTATATTCTTACCAACCGAAATGACTTATAAATCAGTTCATCAAGAATTCCTTACTAGCCTAGAAGAAGACAGCGAATTAAAATCTTTAAAGTATGAAACTTTCCTAAAACTTTGACACCAACTAACTTCCCAAATAAAATTCATGTCTCCTCGCACTGACCTTTGCGACACTTGCCACAAACTACGCAACGAAATCCATTCTTGCCAAGATGAAAAAACCAAGCTCCAACTTAAAAAAAAAATCGAATCCATAAAAAACAAGCCCAATTAGAACGAGATTACTACAACAAAAACACTAAATTAGCTAAAAAACATAAAGAAATTGCTCATTACAGTTTTGACTGGTCGCAAAATGTCCAAGTTCCTCATTTTTCTCAACAGCCTAGCCAAATGTATTTTCTTTCTCCTCGCAAAGTTCACTTATTCGGCTTTCAAAACGAAGCCACAGGAATACAAACCAACTATATTCTAGATGAACATGAATTATTAAACAAAGGTTCTAATGGCACTTTAAGCCTAGTTTTTAACAGCATCAAACAACTAAACCGCGGAGAAAAACATCTTAAACTTACTTTTGATAATGCGGTCGGACAAAACAAAAATAACACCACACTTTGATTTTGTTTGTATTTAGTAATTTGTGGCTTCTACAAGTCTATCGAAGCGAATTCTATGATTGCTGGTCATACTAAATTTAAAGTGGATGGTAATTTTGGTTTAATTAAACGACTATACAGAAAATCAACCATTAATTGTGTCGATGATTTTGCCGAGGTGGTTGAAAAATCTAGTCCAGCAGGATTAAATAAAGTTCAACGCTATGAAAATGGTCAAGGTTTTCAGTATTTTGAATTCAAAATTTTAGAAAAGTATTTTAAGAAATTACCTAACCTCGGAAAATATCATCGTTTCCTTTTTAAGAGTTCTGACCCAGGAACAGTATGAGCTCAAGAATTTGCCAATAGTCCTTTTGTTAAGTTTAATCTGTGAAAAGACAAAGACAAGATTGCTGAATACATTAAAGAGATTAGAAACTTAATTTTTCCTATCTTAAAACCTTCTCCGTTGGAATTTAAAAGAAAAGAATATCTCTATAAAAATATTCGTTCGTTAGTTGGCGAAGAGTTTGGAGATGAAATTTGTCCACAACCCAAATAAAGATTGAAAACAATTACTTGCTTTTTCAAAGGCTGTCTAATACGCTTATTCTTTTTTCTTCTTGGTGTTCTATAAATTTTAAACAATATTCTTTATCTTTTTCATCTTGTTTTACCTCTTCAATAAATTTTTTCTGAACTTCGAGAGGAGGAACAGAAATAAAATAATTGCTAACAAATTGTGAACTAATTCTTTGCTGAGCAGTTCCTCTTATCGTTTCCTTTCCTGCTTGAACAAAATCAGCATTTCGCAAGCAATAATAAACTCATCCTATTAAAACTTTCTCTTTTGCTCTTAAGACAATAAATTCAGTCGAACCAAAACCTATACCATTCTTTAAATTTTTGGCAATGCTCATTTTGCCATTTTCAAAAGAATTTGCCATTTTAGCTAAAAGCAAGTCATTTTCAGCAAAGTAAGTATAGTTTTGGTAAATTTCTCCAAGTTTTTTAGTTTTGGTTGGTTCAACATAAAGCAAGTAGGCTTCACAGTCTTCCATTGGTAAAAAAGAAACTTGAATGCTTTCTTCGCTTTTTATTTCAGATTTAGGAGGATTGATTAGACAAACATCACTAATCTTTTTTCTTTCATAGCAGAGAGAGAGAGAGAGAGAGAGGAATTTAGGTTGTCAATAGTTTTTTGAGCATTTTGAATGTTTTCTTTGATTTTATCTAGCTGTTCAACAACCTTTTTTTGTTCTTCTAGAGAAAGAAGAGGAATGGTTATCTTTTTTTTGAATAATTCAAATTTTAGTGGTTGGCGAACTGTCCCAAAGCAGATTTGTTTAACTTGATTTTTAAACTGCTCCGATGATAATAAATGGAAAAGGTACCGAGGATTAATTTTTTCTTCGCTTGCTACTTTGAAAACAACATAAGCTGGGCTGACGCAACCAGTTTTTTGACTTTCATTAAAATTAATAGAGCCGATGTTAGCTCGAGCAGGATTATAGGCAAAATGCCGTGGTGGAACTAACTTGTAGTTAGATGTATCATCTGAAAATACTTTATTTAGAAAATTGTCTTCAGAACGAACGAAACCACGAAGCTTAGTTACACTTCAAACTTCAACATCAGCATTGCCTTTTCTTTCATTAATTTCAATAATCAAATCTTCCAAAGCAGTCTCGTTTTCAACTCCAAAAAAAGACTGCTGATAAATATTAGGAAGGCTTATGTAGTCATTTTCCTTTATATCTTTCATTGTTAGTTTGTAAAACTTTTTCCCTAATTGTTCATTCAAAAAAATTTTTGTTTGGTCATCAAAATAGTGAGCAATTTCAAGCAGTTCGGGTAAATATTGATATTTGGTAAGAAATGAATCAAGGTCATTAGAACCTTCTATTTTTTTACGACGAGTACTAAAAGAAAAGCCATCATTTTCAACTTTATAGTACCACACAAAATCTTGTTCTTTTCATTTTTTTCATTCTTCTTTTTTTTCTTCTTCCTTAATTTCATCTTTAATGTTAGTTAAGACAAGGATACTAACTTTTA